TTACTACTCATTGTACGTAAATAAGAAATAATACATGACGTCTGACCAAACTGGAGACAAATGGATAGTGAGTTAATGTTCGGGCATCCAATTAGATTTCATAATATTTTTAGAATGTCCTAGATCATTTTCAACGACTTTGTATGTTTGCTTGAAGAAACACACGGGATATATGGATCACGCAGGACAAACATTAGAGAAGTACTTGTCATTACATTATTCATTTTAGGACAAAAAGAATCCATTCGAGCAACATCAGAAAAATTCCAAAATTCTACATAAACAATTAGTAGATACTTCTCTGTTGGACTAGAAGCATTAGCATGATTGTCATTGGATATTATTTCACCTGAAGATAAGCAATTTCAGAATATTCTAGTGCACATTCATAGTAATATGAGGTATATACCATATTTTAGATATTATATCTAGGCAATTGATGTAACTCATGTTGATGCAAGAATTCCTGTGGAAAATAAAATTCCTTTCATAGGATGGCATCATAAAAAAACTCAAAATCTAATGGCTACTTATGATTTGGACATGTGCTTTACATTTGTTTCAGCAGGATGAGAAGGTTCTGCGCATGATGCTCGTATTTTTAAATATGTTGTGACAAATCATAGATTTAATTTTCCAAAACCACCAACAGATAAGTTTTACGCATCTATAAATAATGTACAATTTTTTTTAATATATAATAGTACATGTGTTTATTTTTTGTAAATTCATGTACAAGTAAATATTACTTAGTTGATGCAGTTTATCTTCTAAAAACATGATATCTAAAGTCTTACCCAGATACGAGATATCATTTAGCAGATTTTGTTCGAGGAAGTCAACCTAAAAGGGGTTACCAAAAAGTATTCAATAAGAGACATTCCTCATTAGAAAGTATCATTGAGAGCGCATTTGGTGTGTGGAAAAAAATGGAAAATTCTACATAATATGCTAAATTACTCGTTCAAGAAACAATGTCAAATAGTTGTAGGTACAATGACATTGCATAACTTTCTACAAAGACATAACTCACAGGTCGATCCTAATTTTGATGAGTATGAGAAGGATGAGAACTTTGGTTTTTCTAACTGTAGTCTATACAGAGTTGCAGAGCAAGATAATGAAAATGTTTGTGTTGACGAACATGCTAATGGTGAAGGTGTGATTGAGATGATAAAAGTTAGATATAATATTGCGAAACAGTTGCATAATTTTAGTAGGTAGTATAGTTATCCTAATAATGTTTGTCAAGTTTTAATATTATAGAAGAACCGTGTTGTGTGTTTTTCTATTATTATTGATGATGAAGTATGTAATGACTAATAAATTTTTTATAGATATATTTCAAATGTGCAGATGAGATTTGATACTGAAAACATAGATGTTGAAGGAGAGTACCTTGACAAATCTTATGAACATTTATGTTGCTTGTTAAATTTGATAGAGTTTGTGTTTGTGTTAATGAAAAAAATTGAGTTAAAAAAAGTTATGTTTATTAAATGAAATAGTAAATGATGTGTGGTAATATTAAAAAGTTGATTCTTATTTACTCAAACTAGAAAGTTTAATGGTGTTGTTAATATAATCGCATTTATAGTAAGTAGAATAGAAATTTTAAACAGTGTATTTAAAAAAAAAAATTTACTTATTTTAAAATGTTTTGTTAAACACATCCTAAATAGAGAAATAAAGTAAATATATTATATGTAATTGTAAAATTAAAAATGGATACTTTCATTCATGCAATGCTGATCAACTTAGAAATTCTTGTGTTAAAAAAAAAAGATTAAATTTTGTTGAGAGTACAATTAGCAGAATTGAATTTAGAATTTCATAAGTAAAATATCAATTGTTCAGAATTTCTGAAAAATTATGTTTTTCTAATCAAATTACTGTGCAATATTACTTCCAACGGAGAAAAACATTCAAAATATGATGATCAATTATCGGTATTTGCTATTAACAATGGTTAAACTGACAATGCATATAGATGTTTGTGATACAGGTAAGAGATCTGTTTCGTTTATATGGCGATTATTGTCGATATGGCAATCGAGCTCGGCGCGGGTTTGGAGAGAGCTGTTGGGTTGCATAGAAGCAGAGCGAGCGCCCATTCTGTCATTAGGGCAGACGTATCTGTGCAGGCAGATAGAAGGACCTGAAGAAAGAATTGGTATTGAGTATTTTATATGCAATAAAATTATACTTTCAATTTCAAATAAAGCAAGATCATCAGTCAGCTAGGGCTTACCACCATGATTGCTTTGATAATTTCGTCCGAATACTGCTCATGAGAAGTTTTTTTGCAGAGAAAGCAAACTATCAATTAAGCATTTCCTCCCCCTTTCTTCCCGATCTCTTTCAGCTTCATTATCAAAAGCAGATGCTGAATCTCTCATGCGCTCATCAATCAATTCCTGCAAGAAAGAATTCCTTCTACCCTGCAACCTAATAAGCTTCTTCTCCAATCCTTTATAATCAAATAAACGCAGCAAAGGAATAAAATCCAGAAATTTCTAGCCCCGCTCAATTCAAATGTTTGCCTTACAATCTGCTGGAACACCTCTGTCTAATTGAAAGCAAACAAAGTGAATCCGGTTGTGGTGCAGAGGACCGTCCGGGTATTGGAGCTCTCGGAAGTTGATTGGCATTGAAGATGGGATGAAGGTCTGGGTCGTCTCCAAAATACTTACTGATTGTTAGAGGGCAAATATGTATTTTAGTCGGCTTTTACGTCTGTGTAGGAAGGGCTGCAAGCGAACCAAACGTTCGACGAGCTACTCGTTGTTCGGTTCGTTTAAAGCTCGTTCGTGATCGTTTAATTAACTAAACAAACAAATTTGAACAATATTTTAAATACTCAATTCTTAAATAAACAAGCTTGAACACTAATGCATTTGACTCATTTATGTTCGTGAACAACATCATTTGAAGTTCGCGAACAAGCTCGACATTAAGCTCGATAAAAGCTCGATTCATGTTCGATTTTGAACTTGAATATATGTACTAGCAAATATGATTCATGTTTAATATAATCGTTGACTTCTCTTTTAAAGGTATGTTTGAAAATTCATCAAAGCAGTTAGAATTGACAGTTCATGATGTCCAAATTAGTGTTGGGTCATCTTCAAGTCCAATAGTTTTAACAGAACATGTCCAACAAGAAAATTCTTTTACTAAGAAAGCACAAAAAAAAAAAAAAACCTCTCAAGAAGTAAGAGCAATCCTTTTGTGGCCACTAGCTGTTACTAGATCAGTGATTGTTGTAGATATCAAATATTACTTAACTTGTTGTCTAAGTAATTATAGCTTTATATGACTATTTATTTATAAATCATTGCCTTTATTAATGCTGCTATTAGGAAAATTCTGAGAAGATGGAATTTGCTTATAAATCGTTGTCTTTGTCACATAGACAATTGCTTTAATTATAAATGTCTTTGTTTATAGATATGTTCATAAACGTGTTTGTTTGATAGTTAAAAAAATTCGTTAGATATATTCTCGAACATGCTTGATGTAATCGTTTTTTAGGAAGCTCGATCAAGCTCGTTTGTTAAGTTAATGAACATCCTAAAAGTAGAGCTCATTTATAGCTCGTTCATGTTTGTTTGTTTAAAGCTCGATAAGCATTAAACGAATAAACATGAACTGAACATGAACAATCATTATTTTAAATGAATACAAACAATAAAGCTCGAACAAACATGAACAAAACTTGAACAACCTGATATTAAATGAACACACTCCGCCACTACGAAGAGGTCATTCTAGTTAGAGTTGATCTCTATTAGTCATGCAATTTTATGTGCATCTTAGTATCTTAATAATATTATAAATGAGCGATCTTAATGCTCGTCAAATTAAGGTCATCAAGGCACTCACCTCAATTACAAGTTAACAAAATTATATAGTTTGAATAATTGATAAGCCAATTTCGAAAGTTTTTTATTTGAAGATTACTTGACTCTTCGACGCATGAAAATTGAACATTTATGCACCATTAATTGAATTTCTGGGTGAACGTTACTTTCACTGTTGAATATTTATTAAATGGCATAACAATTAGTTTAATAGACACGATAGTACTCAAATTCCGAATTCTAGATTTGTTAAATTAAACATTTTTGCTAAAAGATAAAATCAGAGCAGAAATATTATATGCAATTTTTTTTTTTTTTTCATTTAACTGTGATTTATCAAATAATCTCTAAAACCTTGGTGGGGGCATATGTGACGACGGTGGCGTCAAGTACAGAAAATACTTCCAAGCGTTTGGTTTAGTTAGGCTGTGCTCACGCCCCTCCACAACCTCGTCGACAAATGCCATGGCTGCCCTCGTCTCCGTCTTCGATCTCTCTGCTCCTCGCCGACCCTCTATTGACGCTTTCCGCTACGGTAACAACTACAAGTTCCCAAGCCCTTAGACCTCTCCAAACTCCTCTATTTCATGGAAAATTATTAGGTCCGGACACCGGACATAGAGATACGGTCGGTGTCCACTAAAATATTGGCATGTGGAATGTACACGTGTCTGCAGAATTTTAAGTCAAGTGCGTCAAAAGAGCAGATAAAGTACAGTTAAAGCGCAGGTAAAATACAAGTAAAGCTATTCAAAACACAATAAAAAGCACAGTAAAAAAACACAGCTCACATGACAAATTTTAATTGATTATCCGGACCTAATAATTTTCCCTACTTCACCAGCACAGTCAGCTTCACAAATCTTGCTATTTTATTTGCAACCAAACCGCCGTAAAACCTTAGTGCTTCAGTGATACAAACCAAGCATGATCATTAAGAAAAATAGTAGTACAGCAGTGCGCCACTCTATGCAAGAGAATAACAAGTGAAAAAGAAACAGCAGGAATCCATTTTCATTAAAAAGTCAAAGATTGGCCACACAACATTCAAGGTCATTGCAAGTCACAATTCTTCTTCTACATCGATAAGAGAATATGTAAAGCAAACACGAAATCAAGTTTCATTCTTATTTCTTTCTACATGATACTTCTCCTACGGTTCTTAATCAAAACTCGCTGAGCAGTTCCAAACCGTCCTACTATCTCCTTTGCTTGAAGGGCAGCCTCGTTAAACCTGGACTCCAAAATTTTGCTTGGCCTTCCTTGTGCTGGTGATCCCAACATGACTCTCTTCTGAATGCTATAACATAATTTGTTCAGATGTTGAGCGCTGTTTACCGCACCGCTAGAGAAAAGTTGATTTCGCTGTAATGGAGAAGGAAGGTTGGTAAGCCTGGATTGAATATGATTTTGCTGCATTGGAGAAGGAAGATTGGGAACCCTGGATTTCCACAAGCTTTGCAACTGTGAAGTGCTAGGGTATTTGAAGCTGTTAATGCATTTCCCTTCTTTGCTTTTTGGAGTCTCTTGAAAAGGAGTAAATGTAGCCACTGATCTCCTCCTTGGTATCCTTAACTGAGATAGTTTTGTCGTAACACTGGCATGGTTCATATTATGTTTCTCAGACAATGTTGCTAATGTTTCTAGTTCAGTAGCAGCAATTGAGGCCCTCCTATTTTTTGATATATTGCAAACAACTGGAGACAATGAGATTCTTCTAGCTCTTCCAAGATGCTTGGTTTTGAAGCTTCTGGTGGCATCATTGATATTTGAGCAAGCATTCTCCATATTTTTAAGAGAAGATTTTTCTGTTCTATGAGGAGGAGCCAAAGGAGGTAGTCTATTTGTAATTCTAGCTAGTGGTGGCCTTTGCTTGGATAGAGCACATGGTGGTCGAAAAGATCTAGATATTTCATTTGTTTCCGTGAGATGGGTTCTGCCTTTCTTCTCTTCAGCTAGCTGGTTTTCCAGGTCCTTGATCTTCAATACATGAGAGATACATAGTAAAGGGAGCTAATTTAAGGGAAGATACAAGCCATAAGATAAACAGCAAACATCCTTTGAGAATAATAAAACTAAATCAGAGGTATTATTGAAGTAAATATGATGAAAAATAAACATAAGTGATATAAAAATTTACAATGGAAGGTAAAGAATGCAGATGTAGATAAAAGGCAGGGGAATGAAAAAGATAGGGGCTTTTCTATGCCCACTTCGATGGAATTTGTTCAAAAAAATTTTTGCATAATATATTTAATATCTCATGCAACATACAATAACAGTGAATAGAAAATGAAAATTTATGAAGTCGGCTCTAAATAATTGAACACAAGATAAAACAAGCAAATTAATTTAATTTCCTTTTTGCATTTTCTTCTCAAGGGAGAGAGTACACACCTTTTGTTGATAATTCTTACATGCTTGTTCAGATTCTCGGATCTGTTAATCAAAAAACCATTCCATAGTCAATACAACATAATTATCATAAGAAGAAAACCAAGCAATCGGGTTGAAATGAAAATCACAAGTTAAAGCATTGACATGACAAATTACATTAACATGAACTACATAAACAAATATCATCCACAGCTTTCATTGTGGGTTGCTAGGGGTCAAAACTTAGCGATCAATTGAAAGAACCTATTTATTTAACTACATAATTTCATTTTGTCTAAGGGCTCCTAAGAATCAAGTAGTTTTCATAAGATACACCGTGAATCATTTTCTTTCTTGAATGCTAATTTACCTTTTCTTGAAGAGTCTTAAAAATATTTTCTCGTGATGCGTATTTGATATGCATCATCTGCAAGCTTTCATTGAGTTTACTCACTTCTTTTTCTTCCTGCCGTAACTTTTCAACCTATACAAAGAGAAATGTCACCACAAAATAAAAGAGCATCAATGGAGATATAGAAAAGTCACATATATTATACCATCTGCTTGAGCTTGAAGTTATCAGCAGGATCAGGCTGCTTTCTGGCTGGGCCATGCTCAACTCCACGCACTCTACTAGCAAAATTAAGAGTACAAAGAGTCTCTCCTAAATCTGCTAAACTAGGGCTAATCTGTGCAAACATCAAAGTCTTGCAATCCCCACCTATTTTATTTTGAAACAAATAAGCAATAAGTAACATTGTAAAACATTCTAGTTTGATATTAAATAAGAATTATGGAAGATTTTAGAATTATAGATAATGTTATTGGTGCTTCTATCTCCTTTAACCGAGAAAGAACAAAGTAAGGAGTTCAACAAAAAACAGAGATGCTGAAATACTCACCCAAAGAACTTTGCAACAAATGAGTTAGTTTTGAATTCCTGTAAGCATGTTAAAGAACACACTTTTAGAATTCATCAAGCAAATCAAAAGTTTGTGGGTGGAGTGTTTTCTAGGGAGATTAAAAAAACTCTCAACTATACTAAAGGTGAGAAATAATTGCAAGCAATCACTCCTAGGATTGTGCAGTGGATGTGGTGGATGTTTGTATGTGGAGCAAAAGAGATACCTATATGGAATGTGGGAATTCTTAGAGGCAAGAGCCGATATAACATCACCAAGGGCTGAGAGGGATTTGTTTATGAACTGTGATTCCTTAAGCCTCTCTCCCTCAGCTTCAATCTTGCCTGCACGTTCGCTGCCTGCTAAATCCACCAACCACAGGAAGCTTTTGCTCCTCTCCCCAGTCACCAAGTTCTCTGCCTTGACCATCAAACGGACCAACCTGAAAACAGAAAAAATGCTAATCAAGCAAGAAACATTCCACCACTAAATTACAAGTATCTCAGAAAAGTACTAAATATCCAATAATCAAGCAGAAATAAAAGAACTTTAAAAATTAGATCCTTTATGTTGAGCAAGTGAGAATGATGAAAAGATATGTAATGCTCACGAATGAGAACGACTGCTGAGCTCATTAGCATTAGTTGACCCAACTGATCTATTTCTTCCTCCTGATTTGTGCATCTCCCACACCTCATCTATGCTGCGTACTTGAACTTCAGCAAGCCCAGGAACTTCCTGAGTTCCTTCTGCTGATTGCTTTATGTCCAACCTTCATAATATTTACCCAAAAAAAAAAAAAAATACAATAATAAAAACTAAAAAAAAGTGATTAGCTATAGATTCCAAAAATATAATGAAAGAAAAGAAAAAGCCTACTTTTTGGCATTTAAATCGGAGTTATCTGCCAGAAGATCCCTGATTTTCTCATTATACACCTCCAACATACTAAATGAAAATTCATATTGCATTAAGACCATTCTCTCTTTCATAATCCTGAAAAGTTCTTCCAAGGCTCTATAATTCACACCTCTACATTCGGGAGTTCCTTCCATAGTGAATGTCTTCCCAGTCCCAGTTTGCCCATATGCAAATATGCAAGCATTGAAGCCATCCATTACAGATTTCACAATTGGCAAAGTCTCAGTAAATACAGCTTCTGTAGAAAACAAGGAATCAAAACATCATATATTGTTTCTGCAGGCATAATGTAGCTATCCTATCATCATTAAACACTAAAAAGGGCATTACCTTGGTCGTCTTTGGGACTGAAAACATGATCAAATTTATATATCTTTTTTGAGGAGTCAGTACAGGTAATTTGCAACTCAGTATCTTTAGATGGATCAAATTCTACCACAGAATTATAACTCTTGGAAGTTTCTTCGGGGCTGAGTGGCCTGCATCTACAGAAAACCCTAATGTTCCCTCTCACTTCAATCAGTTCATTATAGAATCGCTTCCTCTCAGCGGTCTCTTCAGCTAAAATTCTTTTAAGTGCTTCATACTTAGGTTGACATTCCTGAAGACATTTGTTGGTAAGAGCTTCACACTTAGCCCGCAACATATCAATTTCAGCAATCAGATGATGACACTCATTATGCTTCTTTTCAAGGGCTTCATATCTGGGCTGGCATTCTTGAAGGCATTTATTGAGTAAGATTTCAAACTTTGCATGCTGAATCTCAGCTTCAGACTTCTTGGCCAGATGTTTCTTCAACAAATTGTTGTATTGTATCCCTAAAGAGTAGAGGAAAAAAGCAATTAAAAAAATAATAATAATATTAATAAGATCAAACATCTAGCAGCATAAGAAACAAAAGTGACCAACAATACCAATTTTCTGAAGGGTTAAAATGAGATCTGGGCCAAAAGACAGATTCGAGGTACCCTTGAGCACAGGAGATGGAATGAAGCAGTCATCTTCAAACTTCTGTCGTAAGATAAAATGTTAAAGAAAGTAGTGAAGAAAACAAAAATAAAAGAATCAAGCAAGAAAGAATACGTCATAACCTCGCCCAGAATATAATTTGCGAGAACATGCTCGAGGGAAGTAAGGTTCGGCTTCAAATCTGAAAAGAATGGACCAAATTAAAAAAAAAAAAGTCCATAAACTAACATAAATAATACTTCTAATGCGAGGAAACCAGACTAATAATAAGAGAAACGGACCGTTTTCTTGGATCTGTTCTTCTTCCTCCAAGACAATATAACGATTCTGTGTGTCAAGTATCTGGTCTTTGAATTCCTCGAAAGGGACTGTAGTCATGGAATCAAAAGGGGGATCTTCAGTTGCACCACGATCAGAAGGAAGAAAGCCACCGTCCAATTGGATTTCAAGAGTTTGGACTGGAAACAGATCTTAGGAGTTTTACATATAGTCAAGTGATAATGAAAAGAAGATATTGCATATCGAGAAAGAAAGAATAATGTTCTTTGATCAAAACCTTGTGGATTCGGGTTGGCTGATGTTGCCGCTGCAACTATTTCCATGAATTCTTCCGTGAATGGAGTGGAGAAACAAGTGGCTCCTTCACTTATGGACTCTCTCAAATAGGATGGCGACGAAAACAAATCCGAGTAGAGAGCAATAGCGAACCAACGAGCAAACCAGAGACAGAAAGAAGCACAGAGAGAGAGAGAGAGAGAGAGAGAGAGAGAGAGAGAGAGAGAGAGGGAAGACGAGCTTCAAACGGTCGGGGGTAGGGTTAATAGCTTTCTCTCTGCATCCAATTTTTTGAATTTGGTGCGCTTTGGCCGTTGGATTTGCGCAGTAAATCGGATGGCTGAAATTCTTTTTTGAGATTCTGTTCTTTAATATAAACCCATCCATATTAGGGAACCATGACTAACTAAAAAATTTAAGCTTTTGGTTTAGTATTTATATATGAGTTAAGGGCATCATTAAAAAAATATAAAATAAGCATCATTTTTTAATGTAATAATTTTGTATTTTTTTGTTTAAAAAATTAAGATTAAAAGAGATAATAAAAATATGATTTGTAAGATATTTCTATTTTTTAAACTAATAAAATTGTTTTCATAGAAAAGAACTCAAAATATTTAGGTGTTTCAAAATTTTTATATGAAATTTTTTTCTTAACAACCAAACCCTAAACACTACCTCAACTTCAAGCCAACAAAGAGCCGATATTCATTGTGAGCCTGGATGGGTTTAGGAGTAGGGTCGAGTTGCAAGTGAGTCTTTTGTTTGGTAGCATCACGGATATTACATGCATGAGCTTAAATGGCTATCCTTTTCGGTTTTGCATTGTGAGTTTTTTTGATTTTATTTGGCTAGTTGAATTAAAAGATGATTATTGCTATGTGATAAATTTGAGATTGGTTATTCGATCTAGGCTTCATGCTGCTCCTTATTTATGTATTTGGAATGTCTTGGTGATTATCAATTGTCATATTTTTATTGCTTATGATAGTGATCTGTCTGGTTACTGCAAATTTTGTATTCTTTGGTTTTTATATTGATTAGTTATAATCCTGCATATTTCATGTTATATACATGTTGGTTTTGTAATCTGATTCTCTTGCAGATTGAAGGGATCGAGATTTTTGGGGATAAGCTAGATAATTTTGATAGGAAGATGGTGCCGAAAGTATTAACTTTTTTCTTCCTTTTTTAGGTCCTGTTTTCTAGCAGACCTAGAATGTTATTAGGTTATTTTGTAAATTGTAGAACAAGGAACCATTGGCTCTTAGATTTTCTTTTGATTTGTTTTGTATCTCTTTCGAGCAATAGCGAGCTGAAGGTTCCCTTTAAGGACATTGTAATCTATTTTTTAATTAACACGTAGGCCCTCATGCAGGTTTCCAAAAAAATAAAAAAGCAAAACAAAATAAACTAAAAAACAACGATAAAACAAATAGCTGATATTCATAATTTGAGCAATTGTGGATATGTTATTGCAAAGCAATGTAGAAATTTGAATGCTCCATTGAATTCTATTATTTCTTCTGAGTTTGATTGCATGTGTGTAAATCCAATAGATGTAGAAATTCATGATAATTCTAAATCTGCAAACTGCATATCAGGTGTTTGTTTAAATGCCTCATCAAAAACTACTTGATGGAGTGGCCGAACTGCTTCTCTTCAACACTCCTCCAAGCATCTTTATGATGCTAAACCTGGCAAAGGCTTCCCCAACGCATGGATTAGGTTGGAAGTATTCAAAATTGATGAAGTTTCTAAGGCGACAACTATGTCAGAGGATAGTTCTTCTATGAATTTGAATATGAACTCCATCCATGCCAACTTTGCTAGGTTTGAAAGAGGGCTAGTAGGCAAGATTATTGGTTGAAGATTGCTATTTTTTTTTTTGTGCTAAGAAATGAATTGAAGTGAAAATGGTTAATGTTTGGAGATTTTCATCTCCTCTCAATCTCTCCAGACTCTTTCATTTGCCTCTTTGAAAGTACCGACATTCATGATGTTGTCCTTATGGGAGGATTGTGGGTTGTTGGTTGGTTTATTATTGGTTTGGATCGTTGATCTTCTTCCTTCTCTCCCCAATCAATGGTGGGCCAATCTTCTCCTGTTTGGATTCTCTTGCCTCACTTGCCTCTTTTTTATTGAGACAGCACCACCCTTACTCTGATATTTTCTTTCTTTGGACAACAACTATGAGTTGATGCTTAAACAAACTCTTGGGAGATAAATGCTTTTGCTTGTGCTTGCATGAGGATGGATCTGGTTGCCAAGTTTCCCCCTAGAGTTTTGATCTATGGGCTTTATAGCAAGTTCTTCTAAAGAGCAGAGTATGTGGGGATCACCCACCTTTGCTTCCATTGTGGTTTTGTTGGGCACAAAATAAGTCATTGTCCTAATGTTTCTCAAGCCTCCAAGGATCCCACTCAACAACTTCAAAGAAGATAAACTAATTTGTCTAAAACTACTTTACTCAAGAACAATAACACCCCCTCTTCTAGTGACCCTATTATCTCTAATAGTTTCGCTCCTATGGTGAATAATAACCCAAATTCATCTTCCATGTTCCAATCTTCCCTTCTTCCACCTCATATGGAAATTGAGCACTCTCTTTCTTTAATCATATATTATGAGAAAGAAGAGAAAAATCCTGAAAGCTTTGGACATTGAAGTCTAGTTACTTTAGTCAAAAGAAAAATAATTCCAATTTTGGTATTAGTGGACAGAAGGCTAGTCCCTCTTCCAATGAATTTTCTTCTATGTAAAAAAAAATAATAAAGAGCTGATATTCAGAAACTCGCTAAGCTCTCCATGGTATAGGGGAGTGGTTGTCGGTTATCTTGTTATCCTCTTTTTTTATAAGGTCATAAGGACCTATCCAGACAACCTACCTATTGATCTGATGGTTGAAAATCATCCAGTTGTCAATCATCCAAGACACAATTAAATCCTTAATCCAGACTTTAAATCAATCTCCAACCTAGACCTTGATCAAGCTTCAATCAATCTAGACTTCAATCATTCAACCTACAAGTCTCTAGTTAAAATTCAATCACATTCAATTCTTCAATCACCTATTCAATCTCCAACACATTCAATCAAACTCAATTTGCATACATTCAACAAACTAAAAGCTTCAATCAATGAACATCAAACATTTAGTCAATTATCCAACCTACAATCAATAAATAGCTCAATCATTTAGTCAATTATCTAATTTCTAATCAAACAATCAAGTATTTAATCAATTACATAATTAATCATTCAATCAATCAATATTGCATACACTTTCAAAAATCAATTAACATTCAATTAAGTTTCAGTTAATCACTTCAATCAATCAACCTTCAACCTTCAACCTTCAATAAAATTAATCAATCAAAGTTCAAATCAACATTTAAATATCCAACATTCAGTTAAGCTTTAATCACCTGCAACTTCCATCCAAAACAAACTCTTAAACATTGCTAAATCCTCCATTTACATGGTCTCAATCTCCCTAAGTCTATCATAAGTGAACCCATGGTGGGTTTAACTTGGTTAAACCACCATGGGTGGTCCAAATTTACCATATAAAGACTCCCTTACTCATGTAATAGATCTAACCACTTAGAACCCTTGCAAATCACTCAAACAGCTCCTATATGCTTTATAAACTCCAATTCAATAACCTTGACTAAGTTGACTGGTTAAATAAGTTAACTCATAGTTTAAAATTAATTTTAAGATCAAACCACATTGACCAGGTCTCCCTTGTTCGAAATTAAGCCAATTTAGCCACTCAAATGTCCATTGGATCTTCCTGGACTCCACCTCAGCTCCTTTAACCCCTTTGAATGGTCAAAGGGTCAACAAAGAACCAAAAAACTTATTTGGTCAGAGCTCTCTCCCCCATGGCTTTTCCCTCCAAAGCTTCTATCCATATCATTTAAACTAAACCTAAATCCCTCAAAGGATTTACCTAAACCAGAACCTACCCCCTAGCTTAGCCTAACGGCTTATGGTACCCTCCTCATGTACGAATAACTTAGGGTCATTTTCCATCTAAGGATGTATGCTCCTTTGTCTTCTAATTATTTTGGCAAGCTATCAAACATCCAATGAGGACTTCTGAGTGATCCAAGTCATTAACTAAACCTCCAGTATTTGAATTGGTCCAAAGGGGATGAAGCCATTGCTTTGATCCTATTTCCCATTTCCTTAACTCCCTTTACCTTTTTTGACCAATTCCATGGCATTTGGAGCTTGTTGATGATGAGATTGAAGGAAAATTGAT